AGGCCGCAGGCTCTGATGGTCTACCGGCGGAATTCTATAAAGCTTTGCCACAAGAAGGCACACTCTATCTTCTCCACTCTTTTAACGCGATCTTATCTCAAGGAGTAGTACCTGACTCTTGGCATGACATTGTGATGACCATAATTTACAAGAAAGGTGACAAAACCAAACCCGAGAACTACAGAGGGATTGCACTCGTGAATGTGGTTACCAAACTTTTTACGAAAATCCTCTGCAATAGACTTGATAAGTGGACGGAGGATGAGGGCATCTATCCTGAATGCCAAGCAGGCTTTCGGAAAGGCCGATCAACGCTTGACAACATTTTTGTAGCTACGGCGGCTGTACAACTTCAGTTGAGGCTAGGAAATCGGAAGGTCTTTGGGCTTTTTGTGGACCTGAAGAGGGCTTTTAACTCCGTTGGCCACACCCTGCTTTGGCAAAAACTCTATCATCTAGGAATTAGCTCGAAACTAATCAAGATCCTCCAGAACCTTTACGGACATGCAGCTCTGAGAGTAAGATCAGGAGGGAGATTTACTGATAGTATCGAGATCACCGAGGGGGTTCTCCAGGGTGAAAGCTTCAGCCCAACTCTATTCCTTCTATTTCTGAGTGACATTGAGAAGTATCTGAGGGACAGAGGACACAAAGGCCCACTCATCGATGGGATGAGGGACATTCTGGCTCTATTGTTTGCGGATGATCTGGTTCTTCTAACGTCGTTCCAAATACAGATGTTCTTCTTGCTGAAGGACCTGGAGGGCTACTTCCTCCTAAACCAGCTGACCATCAACGTCTCCAAAACTAAGCTGATTGCCTTCCGCTCGGGAGGCGATGCTGTACTGCTCCCAAGTTTTCCTCTGAAAATCTACGGAGAAAAGGTTGAAATTGTCTCCACTTATACCTACCTAGGAGTGGTTTTCTCTTCCTCGGCTCTGGGTCGTCGTGCCGCTCTTGCATCCTGTGAAAAGGCACGCATAGCTGTTGGCACTGTGTTGGCCACCCTGGACAGGGCGAGAGCTGACTCCTGGGAGGCTACCATAAAGCTATTTGATTCTATAGTTATCTCGACCTTGCTTTATGCTGCCCCCACGTGGGCTCTGCAGTATACTGAAACCTTAGAGCCAATCCAGTCCTACTTCTTCAAGAGGCTACTGCTGCTACCAACCTGTACTCCTGGGCATGCCCTCCGCCAGGAAGTTGGCACAGCTCAAGCTCCACTACCTGGTAGTCAAGCTCACTTTGAACTGGTTCTCCAAGGTCTTGCTCCAGGAGGAAGGTAGGTTACCCAAAGCTTGCCTTCTAAGATACATGGAATTGGTTACATCTAGAAGATCTTCCACTCCTAGTTCCAATCAAGACAGCCAAAGCCGGCGAATGCACGCCTACTTCGCAGTAATCCAGTCCTACAGCTGGAGGGGCTCTTAAAGCCCCTCAACATCTACTTCGACTGTGCAAATCCTGATGCTTACTACTGGGCCCTGGAGGTCCCGAGGGTTCTCTTTGAGCTACAACCCCGCCTCATTGAGGAGGATAGGACCAGGATGCTGGCCTCAGCTGCTTGCCAGCTCTCCTTGTCACGGGGAAGCCTAGGCTCTCCGGTCTGCTACTTGAATCAGGGTTCTCCTTTAACCATGAAGAGAATGAAAACACAAGTGAGACTGGCAAAGTCTCTCATACTCTCTTTTGTCATCAAGAAAACCACCTATAAATTAGACCCCAAACAACCTTGCCAGATGTGAAACTCTGGAGAACAAGAATCATTGGTTCATCTCATCATGGAGTGCCCTAAATACTTGAGCTATCGAGAGACACTGCTGAAGGACTTCATTCCAAGTGGAGGTTGCATGGATGATAACGCCCAGACCCTCACCAAACTCCTGAACTCGCCTGACCCTCTTTCCACCCGCAACCTTTTCCTCTTCATGAAATGCTCCCTCAAAGCTCGCACTCAAGCCCTAAATCCCAACCCCTCCACCCTTAGTTCTGAACCCAGAGTCAATCTCATTACAAATTATTTTCTTCCGACGTCGTTATCTACGAATTAGTTTTTCGGTCCGAATTTTTTACCTACTCTGGACCCTTTGAAAGCTCTAAAGTTCAGCTTATTAATTAATGTATTGGTGTTCAATGATTTGCCTCTCTGTTTTGTATCATTTATTTATTATCTACTTTTACTTGTTCCCTCTACATCGTACTCTCGAGGACCGTTCCCCCCCCTAGAATTAAGTCCTAGTTTAAGTAATTTTATATTTATATATTAATTTATTGTATCTTGAGCTATCTCAAGCCCTCTTTATGCTCGGTACGTATCCGATTGCTTTTTCTGACAAACTTGGCTGCCTACACCTGCTTAATACACGTTTTACCAATGTTTGACTGTATCTTCTTTTTGTAAATCTCTATTACCGCTATTATCTCCTTGCACGGATTCTACTATCTGCATACACTGCTGTTTTTTATAAAGCTTGAACAAGGTTGTACCTATTAGTAAGCAATAAAGAATCTGAATCTGAATGTCTGAAGAAACGTTTCCAAATAATGAAAAAATATATTGAGACAAAATAAATAAATAGAATGAGAGGGGTGGATTTTATCATTATTTCGTCATATTATGAATTATCACCTCCTTGAGATTTTACCACAAGTAAAATCATGATAAAAATGAAAAAAAAATGAAAACTTATTCGAATTTCATACTAAGTGGTAACTAGGAGACACTTACTTCCCTCTTCACCTCTGTTCTTGAGTTCAATGTTGGATGCCTTGATCAATGTGTAACGACACGGGTCGTCAACCCGTAATTTATTTTTTGTTTGTAAAATTTGTTTATTTTCATCTTTATATGAAAATCGAGACCTTTTTCTAAGGCAAAATTGTTAAAAATTAGCCTCTAGGAGAATTCTCTCATCCATGGGAAACGGGAAAGGAAATACTCCAAATCTTTTCCAATTCTAATACCATTTGTCATCTCCGACGGTCATAACTCCACGACAACGGGTTGAGTCGAGAAGCGAAAAATCTGTTGGGACCAAACAATATCCAGACCACCTCATTCAGGCTCTCGGGAAGGAGGATTGGACGATGGCGTCCCTCTACGAGGCACGTGCTTTTCAAATGGGAGCAGAAGGTGTCTTCAACCGAGGATCCATTGTCACCAGCCGGCTCCATGTCTAAATATTTTCCGTCAAAAAACTCCGTGGACTTCCATTTCCGGTCTGCGAGGATAAAGTTGGTAGTTTTTGGGTGCTTTGGTTATTAAGTGATTTTCGATTATTTCAAGTTGAGTGTATTGAAAAGAGGGTAAGGAGAGGGTTGGGAAAGGTAAGAGTGGTGAGTGAATGGTGGAGTGGAAAGGGTTAGAGTGGAAGCGGGAATAAATTGAGGTGTGAAAGTGGCAGTGAGAGTTTGGAGGTTAGTTTCCGCGGGGGTGATACAAAACGGGTTAGAAAAGTGGAGAGTGGAGTAGGAGGATCAGAAAGTAGCAGGGAAGGTAGTAGGATAGACACAGAGAAGAGGGTCGGGCAGAGGGAGAGAGAGTGAGTGTAAAAGAAAGGATTAGGCCGTTAGAGAATAGCTTGGCGGCGAGGGGAAGGGAGCAGGGCGGGAGAGACAGGTGAAAAAAGGGGAAATAGAAGAAAGGGGCGACAAGAGAAGATAGCGGGGAGAATTAGAAGTGGGAAGTGAAAGAGTAGGTAAAACAGGGGAGGGAAAGTGAGGTAGGTAAATGAGTTTTCTATTCAGATCTATAGTGAACATCAAGGTAGATAAGGAAGAGGGAACAAAAGAGGGGGAAGAGAAATAAGAGATAGTAAGCGAGGGGGAGGAAAGGGGGGGACGAGTCGGAGTATTTGTCATCAGTTTCGGCTGACGTTTCAGAGGCTTCTGATACAGAGGGAGCGGTGGGGAGAAATAGAAAGAAGAAAGGCGTGTTGTTGAATAGCCATAAATTGCTGAGGGAGAAGTTGGAGAGAGAAAGAATTAGGAGGAGGAGCGTCTCTGGATCCCCGTCGGGTGGCAGACGTTTTGAGGTAGAGGAGGGAGATTCAATCCTAGGGGGGAAAGAGGCGGGTAAAAAGAGAAAAAGAAGTGATCAATCAGAGGGTGTTAGCGAGGAGGGGGAAGAGGAGGCAGAAAAGAAAAAGAGAAAAATGCAGGAAAACGGGGAGGAAGAGGAGAAGGATGATCCGGTAAGGAGATTAGAAAAGCTTATGGTTAAGTTTAGCGCCAGTACCCTGCAATCGCTGGAGGAGCTCAAGGAGGACGGGAGGGTAACGAGGGAGGAGATAGTGAAAGTAAAGGAAGTGTGGGAGGATTGGAGAGGGAAATGGGATGAGGAAACAGAGAAGATATGGGAGAAGTTAAGTGAAATGGAAAATAGAGCGATTGATGAAGGTAGGGAGAGGAAAAAGGAGAATGTAGAAAATAATAGAAGATTAGAGGAAATAGAGAGAAAAGTTGAAAAAGTAGATACTCTAGAGGAGAAGTTGGAGGAGTTGAGTGTAGCGGGGGTACAGAACGTAGGGCCGAGAGAGGAAAAGGCAGTGAAGGAAAATCAGGAATGAAGAAAGCGAATTTAGGAACTAGAATGGAAGGAGGACAAGCTGGAGCGAGAGAGAAGGATGAAAAATGTTGTGATAAGAGGGATTGCGATAGGGGAGGGAGATGGGAGGTTGGAAGTGGGGCAGTTGCTGGAAAGGGTGTTAGAGGTTGAGGTGGAAGTGAAAGAGATAAGACAGATAGGTGGTAAGGACAGACAGGGAAGACAGTCGGTGGTGTTAGAGCTTAAGGACCCAAATGATAAAAAGAGGATGGTAGAGAACAGGGCTAAACTGAGAGGCAGGAAAGAAAGATTAGAAGACGACTTGACTTGGAGGGAGAGGAAAAGACAATAGTGGTTGCTACAGGTAGAAAGAGTTGAAAGTGGGAAGGGAAGAAGGGGGAATGTAGGAAGGGATAGGCTATGGATAGATAGAGCAACGTGGTTGTGGGACGAGATGTCAGAGAAGCTTAAGAACATGGTAGGGGAAGAATGGACAGAGGACAGAGAGGTGAGGGAGAGAGAAGGAAACAATGTTGAGGCCATAGAGACAGGTGAGCAAGAGCAGGAGGGGGGATTAGGCAGGGCAACAGAGGGAAGAGGAGGCAAGGAGGTCGCCTCGAGGGGGAAGGCAATGAGAAGGTGTAGGGGGGGGGCGCAGTAGGTGCAAAGGAGGAAATGGTGGAAACAAGGATAGGAATGAGGTAAAGAGAAAGGAACAGGTAGGTGTGAAACTGGCCTTCTGGAATGTAAAAGGCTTAGGAAGAAAAGATAAGGATTTCTGGGGGAGATTAGAGAAATGGGATGCGATAGTACTGATAGAGACATGGCTAAAGAGGTCGGGATGGGAGAAAGTAGAGAAGAAACTGCCGGAAGGGTTTTGTTGGAAAACGCAGCTGGCCACAAGAGTACCTAGGAAGGGGAGAGGGGCAGGAGGGATGGTAATGGGAATTAGAAAGGGGCTGTGTAAAGGAGAAGAGTGGGAACGGGTGGAAGAGGGAGAGGTGGGAGTGGAAGGGTGGTTAGAGGGAAATATAGGAATAGAGCGAAAGAGTTATAGGATAATAGGAATATATGTAAACCAGGATATGGGACAAAAGATAGAGAGAATCAGGGAAGTGATGGAGAAGAAGAATGAGGAAATAGCAATCATAGGGGGAGATTTTAACGCGATAATCGGTACGAAAGAAGGGTTAATAGAAGAGGATGAATTAGAGGATAAGGAGTCGAGAAAGTCTAAGGATAAAAGAAAGGTGGATAAAGATGGAAAGATGCTGGATGAATCAGGGTGGTCAATTCTAAATGGAAACTGCAAGGAGGACGAGGAAGGGCAGTTTACTAGAGAAAGAGGGCTAAGTAGATCGGTAATTGATCACGCCATAACGGATGATACGGGGAGGGATTTAGTGGACAGGTTTGAAGTGGGGGAGGAATGTGACTCAGATGACTTTCCATTGGTAGTCACACTGAAAGAAGAAGTGGAGGGCAGGGTGAGAGAGAAAGGAAAGAAGAACGGAAAGAGATCGGTCAAAGTCTCCTTTGGGGGAAAGGATAAGAAGGAAAAGCTAAGGGAGGAGCTGGAGAGCGTGGATTGGAAGGAACGATCACTGGCTGAGACGCTGGCGGAAGTGAAAGTGAGAGTAAAAGAGATTAAGGAAAGGATAGATAAGGAAACGAAAAAGAAAAAGAAATTATGGGGGGACTGGTGGGATGAGGAATGCAAAAGAAAACAAGAAAGAGGTAAGAAGGATGAGTACAGAGTGAAGAAGAGGGAGTTCAATAGGATGTGTGGGATGAAAAAAGAAGAGGAGCAAGCAAAGTTTGAAGAGGAAGTAGAGAGAGCACTAGAGGGGGGGAGAGTGTGGGAAGTGATTAATAGGGAGAGAAAGGAAAGAAAAAAGATAAACGAGGGATTAGGATTGGAACGGTACAAAGATCACTTCATGAGGCTGTTGGGAGGAGTTGACGGAAGGGTTATTGTGGAGGGAAGAAGGGAAGAAACGGAGGAAGAGGGAGCGGGGCTGTCGCAGAAGGAAGTTAAGGATGCGATTTTCAAACTGAAAAGCGGGAAGGCGGCGGGAGAGGACGAGATAGAAAACGAGATTTGGAAGGAAGGGGGTTTAGATTAGATTAGATTAGATATTTATTGCTCAGAAAATTGAACAAAGTGATTACGTTGAAAATTACATACTTATATAAGAAGCAGTCAAATAAAACAAAGCAAGAGATGCAGCAAAAAAATAAAGACAAGAGGCTAGAGAATAAGCAAGTGTGTTGAACAGATTATAAGACACGAGCAAATGGCCAACTGAATTACGATGATTCATCAAGATCACGCATCCATCTCCGCAGTTCTCGCTTGAAGGAAGCGAATGAGGACATCTCCCTGATCTGGGTAGGGATGTTGTTCCATACCTCAGGACCAGCAACAGCGACGGCAGCTCTGAAAGTGTCAGTCCGGAAAATGGGGACAACCAAGGTCTGTTGAGCAAGGGCATGGCGGCGAGGCCTAGCAGAGGAGTATATTGCAAAGAGTTCAGCGAGGTATGCAGGGTTTCCAGTGCATAGTACTTGGTACATGATGGACGCAATCGTGGATGCCCTGTAGCCTGAGATCGTCAGTCAGCCAAGATCCCGCCTGGCAGCAAAAATTGGCGCATCACGAGGCAGCCCCGTGACGAAACGTATGGCACGATTGATCAGACGCTGAAGCTGAAGATCCAGCACCACACCCATCCCTTGCAATACAGCTAAACAGTAGAAGATATGAGCGAATATGAGAGCATTGACCAGCAATTTGCGCAACGGCACATCGGTATATTTCCGCAGGCTATATAGCTGATAGAATGTTGAATTGATCTTGGCAATGACCTGCTGGATATGGCTGCTGAAGGTGAGTTTACTGTCAAAGAAGACTCCCAGATTCCTCACACAGCTAACAAACTCAATGGCGGCACGACCGCAGCCCAAGGGAGGCAAAGAAGAGACGTCAATGGAATTGATGTAGCGTCGAGCACCCAATATGATTGCCTTAGTCTTGCTGACATTGAATTGCAGACGATTGGCAATAGCCCAATCCTGGATCCTGGAGATGTCGGCATTGAGACGCTGAATGCTGCACTGGAGATCGAAAGGTTCACAGCCAATGTAGATCTGCAGATCATCGGCATAAAGAAGATATCGAGCTTCATGTACACAGCGGCCGATGTCATTGATGAAGAGTGAGAACAGTAGAGGACCAAGGATGGATCCCTGGGGTACTCCAGCATTGGTCTCGAGAAAAGAGGAGAGCTCATGATCACCTTTGACAGCTTGGGATCGTCCAGTGAGATAGGAACGAAACCAGGCGACAGCACCAGGCGACAGCACCAGCAGACAGCCCAAGATCCGTCAACTTGCTCAGCAGGAGCGAGTGAGAGACTGTATCAAATGCTTTAGAGAAGTCAAAGAGAACCAAGATAGTGATTTTATGGTCATCAACATTCCTTCTGACATCATTGACAAGCCTCAGCAAGGCCGTCTGAGTGCTGTGGCCAGGTCTAAAGCCACATTGCCGAGGGTCAAGCAGGTTACGTTCCTGTAAGAATGAGGACAATTGGATGTAGGCCAATCTCTCCAAGACTTTCGCTAGAAAAGGCAGCAATGCAATAGGACGATAATCAGAGGGCGACTTCGAAGAGCTGACTTTACCAACAGGAACAATAACAGCCCTTTTCCAAATTGAGGGGAAGATACTGTCCAAAAACTATCGATTCATGATGGTGAGCAGGCACTCTGACAAAACTGGTAGGGTGTGGAGCACCATTTTCCTTGAAATTCCATCAGCACCAACAGCGTTGGATTTGATGAAAGATATCGCAGTCCGGATATCTTGATTGTAAGTGCTCTATACATTAGAGAGCTAATAACGGAATTCTTTTGGGAGGGGTGGTGATGGGAGGTAGCATTGAGATACCTATCTGTGTGGGTTGGCTTGCGATATACTTGGTGGCCTAGAGTGCCGTCCTCGTTGCGTTGAACCAGGACATCTAGGAATGGAAGACATCTATCTTGTTCAATTTCCATAGTGAACTTGATGCTCACGTGCTGAGTATCCAAGAACTCCAGGAATTCAGTTAGAGCAGTCTTTCCATGTGACCAGATGGCAAAGGTATCGTCCACATACCCGAACGATACAGTAGGTTTCTGAGGTGCTGACTTCAATACTTCGTTCTCGGAGTGTTCCATGAATATATTTGCAATAATCGGAGAAATGGGAGACCCCATTGCCGCTCCGGATTTCTGCTCATAGTACTCTCCTTTGAACTGAAAGTATGTAGAAGTCAAGCAATGCTCAATCAGGGGAAGTAAGTGGGAAGAGATGTTGGATTTCTTGATGATTTCCAAGGTTTCTGGGATTGGGACGTTAGTGAAGAGTGATTCCACATCAAAACTCACTAGGATATCATCTGGAGAAGTCCGGAGATTTCTCAGTTTGTTGACGAAATCCAGTGAGTTCTGAATGTATGAACNCAGGGGAAGTAAGTGGGAAGAGATGTTGGATTTCTTGATGATTTCCAAGGTTTCTGGGATTGGGACGTTAGTGAAGAGTGATTCCACATCAAAACTCACTAGGATATCATCTGAAGAAGTCCGGAGATTTCTCAGTTTGTTGACGAAATACAGTGAGTTCTGAATGTATGAATCATTTTTAATTGACCAGCTGATCAATTAAAAAGATATGATTCGCTGACCACCCCCCCCCCTTACCCTTCCCCCACCACCACAAGGGAAGGCATATAAGGACTACCCCTCGACATCAGAGCTCAGAATCGGAGCTCATAGCCCTGAAGATGCATACTGCAATGTTTGCGAAACGTCGGCGCAACGCTGTATCCAAACGCGGCATCCATCCGGAAGCCAAAGATTTCATTAATCATGGCCGCGAAAGCCTCAAAACTAAGATAACTGGCCTTATGCTCGTGCCAGGTGTTAGTGCAAGGTTTCGAAGCTCCTTCCACAGTGCCGCTCCATATAGTCCAGATAGTCGAGAATCATACTAGCTAGCACGAGCTTCAGCTAGCTTGGAATGGTGGAGGCTTCTAGCCTGGCGAAACTCAAGCAGTCGCAGGGGACGTCTTCTCCTCTTGAACCGTCTGTAGAGATATTGCACGTGCCGGTACGACTGTCGAAGATGATCATTGAGCCAGGGGGCTATCTTTGCCGAATTTACTAGCATCTCACGCAGCGGAGCATGAGTCTCAACGAACTCTAGGAAAGTGTGAGTGAAGACCTCTGCTAGCTCGTCAGGATTTGATGCGACAGGAGGAAAGCCTTGGAGAGTCTGCTGGAAGTCGACAATAACTTCACCCCTCAGAAGACGTGACAATTGACGAGATGCATTCACCGTTGCACGTGGCTTCCATCCTTCTATGGCGATCGAGGCAGAGATGAGGTGATGACCAACAGCCATGGGACATACAGATATGAACCAACCCGTGACAGTGTCGCAGTCATCAGTGAGACAGAGATCCAACCACGTGGAGGAAGTTAGAGTGGAGTGAGTGACACCATGGTTGACCAACTTCAGCGAGAGATCATGCATCAGCGAATGGATGTATTGCACATCAGCATTATAATGAGACAGCTGGTCAGCGTTGAAGTCCCCCATGATCAGTTTCTGGCTGTAGCCATCTAGAGCTGTCCCCAGGAGCTCGGTAAAGTTGACGGGCACATGAAAGGGAGCATGAGGCGGGCGATAGATGGCTCCAACGAAGACCGGTAAGGTGCCCACAGGCTGTATCTCACAGAAGAGATACTCCACATGCCCTGGCTTACCCGCCCAGACAGAGTCAGAGGCATCAATGACCGTGGCTTTGACAGAATCATGATAATAAATGCCAATACCACCGCCATGCTCGTTGCGATCACGTCTGAGTAAGTGATAATTGGGAATATTAAGAATGGAGCTGGGGAGGGCAGCTGATAACTACGTTTCTATGACCACGATAATATGATAAACCAAAGCCTGGGGGCTGAGAAAACTTTTAATAGTATCAAGGCGACGGCGAAGAGAATTTACATTCAGACAGCAAGCATGAAGCTGATTATTAGAGACGGTAGTTGAAGTGGAGCTCCCGAATGACTTGACAGCTGATGATTGAGGTGTGGAAGAAGAAGAAGCCTGTTGAAATGCCAGTTGGCGTGAGGAGTGAGTCCCAGGGGCTGAAAATCAGGAAGATGCAGCAGAGTGGAGGCTCGCAACTCTGTCGATGTCAGTTAGGGAGTTGATCGTGTAGACCAAGTCGCCCTCCTGTATTTGGCGAAGACCATCTCATTTTTCGTCCAGATGAATCGGAAGCCATATTGTCCTAAGACAGATCTAGCCTTGCCCAGGAGTCTATAGGTCTTAGTAGAGATGAGCTCGTTAACATTCACTTGAAAGTCAGCACCGTTCGGGTCTGCTGGAGAGGAGTAAGATGGCAGGGTGGTACTGTCAACAGCTGAAAACATCAGCTTACCTTTGGCTTTTCTGGCATCAATGCATCATACGCGCGAGCGGCGAGGACTACCTGGTTGTTGAAAGGCATTACTTGAGGCAGTAGCTGAGGCAGACAGACTCACCGGTTTCCTCATAAATCGAGAATTGGAGACAGTGGAGGAATCAAGATCAGGTTTCAGTGAAAGCAGAACTGCCAAGGCCAAGGGAAGAGGTTCAGTGAGACCTTCCCTTTCTGGAAAACCAGAGATGATAAGCTGATTGCCAACCTGGTATTGTCCTGCAAAGCGCTGAAGACTGACGGAGCTAGAGTTGACAGCAGCAACAACGCTCTGCAACGTCGCAGCATCAGGAGACGACGACGAAGCAGAGGTGGCAGGTAAAGTATCCAATTTGGCCGTGAGATCAGCAACAGACTTCTTCAAATCCCGGATCTCTTCACGGTTTTCAGCTACGATGCCCTCAACATCATCCACACGCTTGACCAGCGCAGGCAGGTGGTCCAAGGCAGATAACTTGGACCTGACAGAAGAGAGCTCGGACTTGACGGAGGAGAGCTCGGACTGAACAGAACAAAGCTTGTTGAAAAAAGAATCAAGGTTCTCAGTACGTTTGCAAATCGTCGCTAGGGTCTCTAGGATGTATATAGTG